AGATCAACCACTTTTGCTTGCAAGGGGCAAATGTAAACAGAATACTCCGCAAGAGATTCTTACCACTCTTCAGAATCTCACTCACACCATGTTGGTGATGAGTTCTAACTTTGCACCGGCGCCAAACGGAAATCAAACTGGTGGTGGAGTTATTCCCGCCGGAGCGCAAAATCAAATCCAGGGAGAAGTAGGCCCCAATCAGCCTATGGCTCATGGCAACACGGCCACAGTAACACATGCTCAAACCACAGTAGGCGGCGGCAGTTTGCCCATGCCCGGGCTCCATGGCGTGCCAAGCCAAGATCCAATGGTGAATAGGGGCGTTTCTGGTGTAATGAATGGTGCTCCGGCGACTGTTGGTGTCCAGGAAAACATAAGGAGCGTGATGGCGCAAAAGGGAGCTCTGCCCGTACCTAATCTTGTCACGCCACCAGTAAATGTTACCCGAGCACCAAGCGGGCCTCCTTTGGTGCCGACAACAAATCTGCAAGCACAACCCGGTATAGCGGCGCCGTGCGGTGGACTCTACGGGCCTCAATTCAATATCCCATCACCAACTGTCTTGTCTATAGGCGCTGATGGCCAGTATCGTCAAATGTCCTCACCAATGATGAATTCGCAGCACTAGAATGGCCAAGCCACCCCTAGCTCAGTCTTCGGGTCCATAAGCCAAGTCCCGGGAATACCACCATCAAACTCTCTCCCTCAACAGTTTCTCACTCTTGCCGATGTGCAGGCCATGTTCGATCTCGAACGGGGCAAGAGGACCTTACCCTCTTTGCCTGATCCAGACCTTAAGCTGCCTTACCTCATTGAGATGCTGAGCTATCCATATCTTGAGGGGTATACAGTGCCGAAATTCATCAAGTTCGACGGCAAACAAGGAAATGCCCGAGAACATGTTGTGCGATTCATCGAGACTCTGGGTATTCATGGTTCAAACCACGTCCTCCGACTGAGAGAATTCTCTAAGTCCCTCACCGACTGAGCATATAGTTGGTATGTTAATTTGGCCCCAAACTCTGTCCGAAGTTGGGAGGAAATGGTTAACAAATTCCACTCCAAGTTCTTTCAAG